TTATAACATATCCTACAGGCCCCGCACTGCGCGCTATCCGGAGTGCGGTCGGGAGATCCTTTGCTGTGCCCATCCCATCAGCCGCGTCCGTGCGTCCGTCCCCCGTCTGTCTGCGCGCAGCGAATAAAACCGCACAACAAATCCCGCCTCGCTCGTTCGTTCGATCACTCACTCATCCCACCGCGCGCTCTCTTTCTCTCTCTCCGTCCCTCCCAGCCTCGAGCAAAACACGAGTTTGCTTCGCCTTGAAGATTACATAAAGGTCACGCGTCTGCTACAGAGAGCCACGAGGGGGGTAAGCGAGCGGCGGGGGGGGGGCGTTTGTTTCTGCACCCACGCGAGTTTCAGGGGTGTGTGGGTCTCCTGGGCAGAGGTCGCAACCGGGTACCCGATACCCGTACCCTACCCGATACCCGGCTACCGTGTAGCCGTTTGCGACCCTGGTGCGGCCGGGTACGGGTACGGGTAGGCCGTGAGTCACTGGTAAGTGGCCGTTTGTCACTCATTTCGGGTAAGGTACGGGTAGGGTACCCATTTGCGATCCTGGTGCGGCCGGGTACGGGTAAGGAATCAAAACCCGTTTGCGACCTCTGCTCCTGTGTGGACGAGCAAACAAACACGCGGCCAAACCAGCGGCGACGGTGCAGCAGCTACTCAAATCGAGCTGCCAATACTAGCTCGGTGCACAGGGATTTGTCATAATCTACGAGCTCGACAAACTGACTCGCGGCCACAACTTGCTATTCATTATTATTTGTTCAAATACGTGAAACAACGAGATCAGTGGTTCTTAACCTTTCAGCGAGGGCATCTCGCACCCCCATTGTGCACCCCAGGTTAAATCCCACTGAACTAGATAATATGTGAATTTCTTTAATTTTGATTTACAGCTTTCGTGACTGCAGGGATTCATATTCTTGGTTCTTTCGTTAAAGTCACGTAGAAGGGAAATAATAAAATAAAAAATATATTAAAACAATAAAATTATCACGACGTTTCGACTGCAACACAAGCAATCATCATCAGGCTTGAAATCCACATCAAGAGCATGTTCTTGCTGTGGATTTCACACCTGATGACCTGGGTTAGATAACGAACAATGCGACACGTCATCATCATGAGCCATGATCAATCCATTGCTGGACGAAAGGCCTCCCCAAGCAGTCGCTATTTATCCTAAGACCCTGCGATGTAACCGTCTCTACCCGTAGCTCGCGCACGTGGAGCCGAATTCCATCGCTCCATCTCCTCGATTCTGACGTCCTCTCTCGCACGCGTCACATCGCGGGCTGCTCCGTCAATGCGATTCCGTTAACGCCATTCTAGGAAAGTGTCGCCCGATGAAGCCGTTTGTAATTGCCGGCGAAACTTCACGGCGCTCAACAAATTGTAAGTGTTCGTGTGTTTTGCTCTCCAACACAGCGGGGTGCTGAAGTAGTAACTAATGGGCACGTTCTGTTATTACACGCTTTCATTTAACTCACTCTGTCTGTTGTTGTTGTTGTCGTTGTTGTTGTCATTGTTGTATCCTCAAATCTTGTAACTCAATTTTAACCCACTTCCCAATGTGGTATCGACTGCAAACTTGGTATACTTATGTCAAACTGATGACAACACTATATTCTATCATAAAACATAAAATAAACATATTTTTAAAACGTTCTTTTTTATATTTAATGTTTCGGCTTGGGTCTAATTGTCCACGCTCAACTTACGTTGGCCATAATTGGCCACGGTACCTTACATTATGTGCAAGCTTCGGGGCCACTTCCTGGAGCCGTGGATTTCTTCCATTTCTAGTACATTTCATAAAATCGTGTTTTAAAAAAAGTTTTTTTAAACATTACTTATTTACGTGACAAACCTGTCGAAATTCCCTGCGCCGTGATCTAAGCTAAGGAAAAAGTAAAATGTTGTTACCGTGACACATTCTGTCAGACTCGTGGCTGAGCATTGCTGGCGTCCCGTGGCAAGGTGCCACCATCAAGCCCTCCCCCAACCCGCTTCGGCCTCATCTGGTGCGGCGTCGGCACCGCCCCATCAAACACTTTTGAAACCTTGAAAACAACCCAGCTGCTTGCCTTCGGTTTTTGTTTGTCCGGCAAAACCGGCCACGTCGCGGTGTTCTGCATTTCAAGTCCCGTGGGGTCACTGACGGCCCCTCGTGACCACTTAGTGCTGCCCCTGACGACGACGTGTGGCCTCCCCGCAACACACAAAGAGTGAAAACACCCCCCCCCTCTTCCATCATCATCGTGCTGCTGTCAAACCCAACAATGGTTTCGAATTGTGCGGCTGGGCCCTCCATGCTGACGATGTCTTATCGGTGAAAGTGGCACCCTTCCGCCCCCCCACCCACCCCCCACTCTGAAACACAGCGCAACACGATAGGAGCCACTCTTTGGTTATTTCGGTAAAGTGACGTATAAAGAGAAAATAATAAATTAAATACTAGCATACGACGTTTCGATTGCAACACAAGCAATCATCATCAGGTATAAATGAAATAGAAACACAAATCTAGTATACTTAGAAATGTCATGTAATACAACAGAGAGTCGGATAATATAACAGTCAACACCCTACCTGGTTGATTGCAGTTCTTCCTGAGAATGCTAAATTTGAGAGAGAGATAAAACACAGAACCAGAGACATATAGACAGACATATAAGTAGAGACAGATATCACAGAGATACATAGAGAGAGAGAGAGAGACGTACATAGGCACACAGAGAAACCACGTCTCTGTGTCGAGGCCTTAAATAGAGAGAGGGGGCGGGGGCGGAGAGAGAGGGAGGGGTTAGAGAAATTAGCATGTCAATGAGTCAGTGAGTGGCACGCTGCCACTAAGTACGCTAGGAGCCACCGACTCCCCCTAATCCCCCCCCACCTCCGCCCCACATTTCAGGAGGGACACACCGTTGCGGCCGCCACCACTGCGGCCCCACCGTTGCTACGGCACTGAGGGAGTGTCTCCGCCCGCCACTCCACCCCAACGAGTGCGGTGTTTGGTAGCGAAAGTCTCATGAAGATTCATCATCGAGAGGCTCGAGGAGAGGTCGTGGATCGATGAGGCTAACCCCACCCTCCCTCCCTCCCACACGAGTTGCAGAATTCGCGGAAAAGGTTGCGGCCGGGGCTGGGCCCGCGTGTTTTGTCTTCGCAGCTCTCAGGGGTTTTGTTTATTTATTTCAAAAAAATGTGTATTTGCTTCTTCTTCTTACACGCGTTTAGATGGTCGCATGAGGTTGAGCGGACCTAGGGGAAGCGCTGCATCGGTACGGAATCGGGAATTCGACCCCAATTAAATGTCTCGCCTCGTAAGCTCAGCGCGTTAACCAGTGCGTTGGGTCTGCACGCACAGGCTCACACTGATACACAAAGACAAAGATCCTCCCGTATAGCCTTCACAGACTGTTGCGGCAAGTGCTGTTCGCGAGCACCTATGAAGGCCGGAATGGCACACGATGGGGTGGGTTGGTGGCCAGCGCCACGCCCGGCCGCCACACACTCACTCACTCACACACTCACACACTCACACACTCACTCACTCACACACTCACTCACTCACACACACTCACTCACACACTCACACACTCACTCACTCACACACTCACTCACTCACACACTCAATCACTCACACACTCACTCACTCACACACTCACTCACTCACACACTCACTCACTCACACACTCACTCACACACTCACTCACTCACTCACACACTCACTCACACACTCAAAGACACTCAAAGACACTCAAAGACAAAGATCCCCCGTATAGCCTTAACAGACTGTAGGGGCAAGTGCTGTTAGCGAGCACCTATGAAGGCCGGAACGGTACACGAGGGGGTGGGTGGCCAGCACCACGCCCGACCGCCTTTGTCTCCCTAGTGGCAATGTTTACACACCGCACCAGGTACTCATTTGAGGCTGAGTCGACCTAGGGGAGGCCCGGGACCGGTTCAGATAATCGTCACTGGTGTTGGCCGTGAGCGGGAATCGAACTCGTGTCGCCGGGTTCATAGCGCAGCGCGCTAACCGCTGCACTATCGCTCCCCACACTCACACACTCACTCACACTCACTCACGCACACACTCACACACACACTCACACACACTCACTCACACACTCACACACACTCACTCACACTCACTCACTCACACACTCACTCACACTCACACACTCACACTCACTCACTCACACTCACTCACTCACACTCACTCACTCACACACTCACACACACTCACTCACTCTCTCTCTTCGCGCTCTCAAGCATGCCGACATCGCCGCTCGCTCTCCCCGGGGCCTCTGGCAGCGCCAGAGCTTAAATCGCCTGCGATGCGAGAGGAGGAGGGGGGGGGTTGTATATTTTAGGATGTGATGCGATGGGATGTGATGTGTGATGGGATGTGATGTGTGATGGGGATGAGGAAGTGGTGGTGGGGGAGGGGAGATATGAGGTGATGGGAGTAACAGGTGGAGGTAAGTGTACAAGTCGCCCTGTGGATGTTGCTGATGATGATGCCCATTTGGAGGATGAAATGAGACGAGAGATGAGGAGGATTGGGAGCGGCACGTGTTGTGTCAGTCGTACTCTGGTTGACGATGATTGCAATGATGATGAGGAAGAGGAGGCGATGTAGGGAGGGAACGATGCGGATAGATGAAGATGTGGATGAAGCAAGTGCTGTTCCTATCGTGTGCCATGGACGATGATGCTGCTGCTGATGATGATGACGATGATGACGATGGTATCGACGATCGTGGTGCTGCTTGTAATGAGAAGAAATGTCGGAGCGGTCGGATGGGAGCGAGCGAGAGTTTAGTTTGGGGGGGGTGGGTAGAGAATCTGGGAGAGAGAGAGAGAGAGGGGAGGGAGGGGGTGGTGGTGGGAGGATGAGGAGGGGGGAGGGAGGAGGAGTGGGAGGAGGGAGGGTGGAGTGAGTGCGTGGTTGGACAAGGCGAGCTCAGCCTCGGCGATAAACGCAGGATCCTCCGTCGCCACTCGCTCGCTGCTGCTGCTGCTGTCCCGTCTCTCGCCGCCGTCTCTCTCTGCTCTCTGCTCTGCGCGCGCGCACACACACACACCAAACACACACCAAACACACACCACACACACACCACACACACACCACACACACTACACACACCACACACACACCACACACCACACACACACCACACACACACCACACACACCCCTACACACACCACATACACACATCACCACACACCACACACACACCACACACACACCACACACCACACTACACACCACCCACACACTACACACACCACCCACACACTACACACACCACCCACACACACACACCTACACACACATACCTACACACACACCCCTACATACACACACCACCCCACACACACCACACACACTACACACCACACACACACACAAACTACACACACACTACACACCACACACTACACACTACCCCACACACACCACACACACACCACACACACACACACTACACACCACACACACACCCCACACACACCACACACACACCACACCACCCACACACACCACACACACCACACACACACCACACCACCCCACACACACCACACACACACACCACACACACACACCACACACACCACACACACACACCACACACACACACACACCACACACCACACACACACCTACACACACCCCACACGGCGGCGGGGATGATGCGGTCCTACTCATCCTCACGCGCGGCCGCATAGGAGAGGTGAGTTCGGTGCACGCAGCCCCCCACACGGACCAGCCAGCCCCCCACACCGACCAGCCAGCCCCCCACACGGACCAGCCAGCCCCCCACACGGACCAGCCAGCCCCCCACACGACCCAGCCAGCCCCCCACACGGACCAGCCAGCCCCCCACACGGACCAGCCAGCCCCCCACACGGACCAGCCAGCCCCCCACACGACCCAGCCAGCCCCCCACACGGACCAGCCAGCCCCCCACACGACCCAGCCAGCCCCCCACACGACCCAGCCAGCCCCCCACACGGACCAGGCCAGCCCCCCACACGGACCAGCCAGCCCCCCACACGGACCAGCCAGCCCCCCACACGACCCAGCCAGCCCCCCACACGGACCAGCCAGCCCCCCACACGATCCAGCCAGCCCCCCACACGATCCAGCCAGCCCCCCACACGGACCAGCCAGCCCCCCACAGGACCAGCCAGCCCCCCACACGGACCAGACAGCCCCCCACACGCACCAGCCAGCCCCCCACACGACCCAGCCAGCCCCCCACACGACCCAGCCAGCCCCCCACACGGACCAGCCAGCCCCCCACACGGACCAGACAGCCCCCCACACGGACCAGCCAGCCCCCCACACGGACCAGGCCAGCCCCCCACACGGACCAGACAGCCCCCCACACGGACCAGCCAGCCCCCCACACGACCCAGCCAGCCCCCCACACGGACCAGCCAGCCCCCCACACGATCCAGCCAGCCCCCCACACGGACCAGCCAGCCCCCCACACGAACCCGCCAGCCCCCCACACGAACCCGCCAGCGAACCCGCAGCGGAGCTCCGAGTGAGTGGAGAGCAGCGGAGGAGGGGACGCACACACACACACAGACACACACACAGACACACAGACACACACACACAGACACACACACACAGACACACACACACAGACACACACACAGACACACACACACAGACACACACACAGACAGCGGCGGCGCGTGCGGGTGTGTGTGTGTAGGGGTGTGATTGTGTGGGGGTGTGTGTGTGTTTGTAGGGATAGTGTGTACAGGGGTGTGATTGTGTAGGGGTGTGTGGATGGTTGTGTGTGTGTAGGGGAGCGGTAGTGTAGCGGTTAGCGCACTGCGCTACAAACCCGACGACACGAGTTCGATTCCCGCTCACGGCCAACACCGGTGACGATTATATTCATCTTTGCCGGTCCTGGGCCTCCCCTAGGTCGACTCAGCATCAAATGAGTACCTGGAGCGGTGTGTAAACATCGCTACTGGGGAGACAAAGGCGGCCGGGCGTGGTGCTGGCCACCCACCCCCTCGTGTGCCGTGCCGGCCTTCGTAGGTGCTCGCTAACAGCGCTCGCCCCAACAGTCTGTTACAGGCTACACGGGGAGATCTTTGACTTGTGATGGTTAGCGCACTGCAACTACGCACCCGGCCACTGGAAGTCTGTTCAGGCTCTACGGGATATATTTTGTTATTGTTGTTGCGAGATATTACATGTTTACTGGCAGACGGTAAGTGTGGGGAGACCCGGCGGCGTAGTGGTTAGCCCACTACGCTGCAAAAACCCTCACGACCAGTAACGAATATTTGAACCCGAGCCGTCCTCGAGGTCGACTCAGCCACAAATGAGCTTTGTGCAGCGTCAACATGATTGGGGAGACAAAGGCGGCCGGGGGAGCTTTGTCTCTGTCGGCATGTGTGCGTTTGCATCTGTATATGCGGGTGTTGTCTGAGTGGGTACGGGGAGCGGTGGTGCAGTGGTTAGCGCACTGCACTATGAACGTGGCGCTCATTCCCGGCAACACGGCGAACATCAGAGTGATATTGATCCTGTCCATTGACGTCCCTAGGGTCGACTCAGCCTCAAATGAGCAACCTGGTTCAGCCTCATCATCATCAGTGGGGAGACAAAAGCCTTCATATGTGCTCGCAAACGGCACTTGCCCCAACAACCTTATAAAGGCTTATACGGGAGATCTTTATCTGTGTTCGTATGATTATGAATGATTGGGACGATGTTGGCCCCCACCTACCCCCCCTCCCATCTCGTGTGCTTTAATAGGTGCTCGCTAACAGGCACTTTCCCCAACGGTCTGTTAAGGCTATACGGGGGATCTTTGTCTTTGTGTGAACGTGTGCGCATCGGCGTGCGTGCGAACGCTGCATGAGTGTGTTTTCGAGGATGTCTGTAGATACCTGTGTAATGATGTGGGGAGCGGTGGTGTAGCGGTTAGCGCGCTGCGCTACGAACCTGGCGACCCGGGTTCGATTCCCGCTCACGGTCAACACCGGTGACGATTATCTGAACCGGTCCTGGGCCTCGCCTAGGTCGGCTCAGCCTCAAATGAGTACCTGGTGCGGTGTGTAAACATCGCCACTGGGGAGACAAAGGCGGCCGGGCGTGGTGTTGGCCACCCACCTCCTTGTGTGCAGTTCTGGCCTTCATAGGTGCTCGCTAACAGCACTTGCCCCAACAGTCTGTTAAGGCTATACGGGGGAACTTTTTCTTTGAATGCTTATGTCTCTGTGCTTGTATGTGGCTATCAATACCAGTGACGATTATCTGACCCGGTCCTGGGCCTCCCCCAGGTTGACTCAGCCTCAAATGAGTAGCTGGTGCGGTGTGTAAACATCGCCACTGGGGAGACAAAGGCGGCCGGGTGTGGTGCTGAAAATCCACCAGCTCGTACGCCATCCCGGCCTTCATAGGTGCTCGCTAACTGCACTTGCCCCGACAGTCTGTTACAGGCTATACGGGGGATATGTATATTTGTGTATAAGTATGACCGCGTGTGTGGAGAGATTACGAATTGCTTAACGCGCTGCGTTTCCAAGGCGCGATATTTAATTGCGGTTGAAGTCCCGATCCGTGACTAGGCTGTGCCTCACCCTAGGTCCACTCAGCCTGAAACGAATTTTTTTAAACCTGTGCGTAAATATGAGCGCCTGTGGAGAGCGTGAAGCTGACCACACACACCACCCCTTTTCTGCGCCGTCGATAACCTTAATAGGTGCTCACGAACACCATTTGCCCCAAAAACAGTCCGTCACGTTCTCACAGGGTAATGTTGCATCACATTAACGATTCGATTATATAATGTATGACGCAATGCCAGGTTCAGATCGCATCGTTCATTGTTTTGCTCAAAAAGCAAGTTCTGTCCAACCCCAGTCGTAGATTTATTCATGAGTCCAGTCAAAAATGTATTGTAGTCATCTCTGGTTTAAATTGAGATCCCATTCCCTGTATAACTCACGAATCCTCCGCCATTCCCAAGTCAAGGGTCGTAGATACTGACCCAGGAAGCATATCTTGAAAACTCGAGCCAATCAACAATTTTAATCATCATTTTCATTCTCAGTGAACCATAATTAGTGAAGTTGCACTACATTGATTTTGGAAGCATTTTGGCAATGTTATCATTTGTCCCGTCTACTGTCTACCTCCGTATATCGCTCCGTCTGTATCTCCTTTGCTCCGTCTCTGTCTCCCCTGTCTCGCTTGTCTATCTCTTTGTCCACCTCTTCCATCGACCTCGCAACCGTCTATAAATCCGTCGATCTCTGACTCTCCCTACCAAGCTTTCGTGACTGCAAGGAATCATATTCTTAGGTGTTTTCGGTAAAGTCACGTAGGTAAAACATCAAAATTAATAAAAATAACCTACCAACTTGCTCCTCTCGTTCAGTCGCTACACATCCCTCCGTCTGTCTCTGTCCACGTGTATTGCCCTTCTTTTTCTCTCCGTCTCTATTTCATCATATAAATAATATCTATTTTTACCTATCTCCAAGTCTCTGTATTTATTTCTATCGCTTCCTCTACCTCCCATCTCTCTCTCTCTCTCTCCCTCCGTCTGTCTCCCAGATCACCAGCGCAATTAGTGAGAAAACTGCCGCGTCTGACGCGAGCGACTTCGCGGCTCTGCACGGCGGCATCTTCCGACTGCACCCGACAGAATCCGCACCACCACCACCGGCAGCAGCAGCGGCTTGACAGAAGCTCCCATATTCATAATGATGCTGAGCAATTGTGATTCAAATTTCGACCGTGATTTTTGTTTTGTTTTGAAGACGCGTCCAACGACGGGAGTGAGTGTGCTGGGGGATTTTGTTTTTGTTTCACGGAATCACGCTGTGTTTAATTAAGGTGAATAATTGCTCAAATAGATTCAGTTCCCCCCATGCTCGGTGCCTAAGAGCCAAACGAGCCGAAACGCGCCCGGTCTCGCCAGATGTCAGAAGCTAAGCAGGAGTTTGAGCCTGGCTTGTGTCTGGGTGGGCTACCAGCAGGCACAAGCAGCAGCCCGCTGTGGTGGCTACGTAGTAGACGCCAGAGGGCAGTGCAGCACATTCTATCGTTGTACTGTACTTCTATGATGCCACCACGTCGAACGCTCCCCGTCCTCCAACCCGCACTGACCAGCGTGGTGAAGTATGGTCGAATAACCCAACACGCCGTGGGGGATGCCCTCATCCAGCAAGGCTGTGGGGAGCGGTGGCGCAGTAATCGGCGCACCGTGCGATGTGACTCTGGGAGACGGGAGAGTCCCCGAACTCACGGCTAACATCAGTGGCGAGTGATGTTCGGACCAGACCGGTGAAGTATGGTCAAACAACTCCCGCGACGGACACGGCGTGGGGGGGGGGGGGTGTTATCATACCCATGTGTGCAAGGGGAATTAAAACTGAAACATCCGCACAGATAGATTCAATAACCCATTGCTGTAGCTGTTTCGCAACTCAATACCGCAACACCTGGCATTCATTCCCAGTGCCATGTGTGCCTTCGTGTTTAAATTTGTTTTTATAGTTGACCATACTTCACCACGCTTGTTAGTATTCGTTGGTAAAGAAGCGGGTGGCCTGCTGATGTTAGCTGTGGCCTGGAGTCGAACTCGGGTGGGTTGGTTGGCAGGGGGTCATGTGGCCATAACCGCGCAAGTGCGCTAACCGCTGCGCCACAGTTCCGCGCCGCAATTAATACGTACAACACCGTCTTCGCACGGGCGGCATTAACATAATTTAAATGCATACATTACCAATCAACAGATGCGCTCATCCAGTAATAGGCTAATTTGCATGCGCGTTCTGAATTCTGGCGTGCCGAGATAACTTTTTGGGGGGACGAAGGGGGAGGGTGGAGGTCTATGTCGAGAACCACACTGGGAGGACACGTGGATTATGGAACACGGGGCGAGTGAATAATATCATCATCCACACTCTTTAAATTATAAGCAGGAGTCCTCGGGTGAACACCAACCCTTCTGTTTGCCGTGCGAGGCCTTTAATAGGTGCTCGCTAACTTGCTCCCACAGTCTGTTGAGGCTATACGGGGGGGAGGGTTGGTGGAATCTTTGTTGTGATTATGAAGACGATTAACAATTAAACGGAAAGCTAGTGCATTTAACCAGGTGATAGCCCATGAATGTGATTTAGCATTCATGAGCTCTCCCACACTCGGAGAACCTTGAGAAATGGAGCCGCTTCCTCCTCCTCCTCCTCCGCCACACTCGCTATTATTTATGCATGAACGCAATTTATTTACGGGGTCATTTTTTTTGTAAGTGTGCCACTGCGGTAGTGACGTACGGCTACAAAGACAACAATCCCCTCCGTGTAGCCTTCACAAACTGTTGGGGCAAGGGCTGTTTGCGAGCAGCACCGAGTGAAGACCGGCACGAGGAACTGCGTGGCCGGCAACCTCGCACCGGCCAGCTTTGTCTGCCCAGAGGGCCATGTTTACACATCGTGCCAGGTACTCATTTGAGGCCGAGTCGACCTAGGGGAGGCCCAGGACTGGTTTCAGATAATCGTCACTCAAGTTGGTTGCCGTGAGCGGGATTCGAACTCGGGTGGCCGGGTTCGTCGCGCGGCGTGCTAACCGCTGCACCACCGCTCATTCTTACACACGCACACACGCCCATTCAGCTGGGTTCTATCAGGGTCGGTGATTCAGAAAAAAAACAATCTATGCCTGCATCCGGCCCACCACATCCAGTATACGACTGTGAGTTACAACTGAATTGCAGATTAAAACACAGCCACTGTCCACATTTCTTTGATTAATCGAGAAAAGCTCTTAAAATATCACGGTGGTGTCGGATGTGCTCGAGTCAAACTGATATTTGCATCCTTTGCTGGGATGGTGATGGGGCATTCATTGCTTGTGGACGTGTAACACGCACACAAATGGACTTTTGCCATAAATAAGCCACATTTTAAAAAAAAAGCTGCAGATATCATTACCATCAAAATGACGCCTCTCTTTTTCTCTGTGCTTTTTCAAAGACGTCGGCAATCACGACCTTCCTCGCATTCATCTCTGCGCGTGATGTTTACTCAAGAACTTTGCATCGGACACGCCTCCCTGTTGCATCCAGTGGGTAAAATGGCTTGTGGTGTAACTCGATTCGCAGTCTTCCTGGAATGTTCCCAGTCAAAACCACATTCAGTCTCTTGTTTTCTCATTACATATCCAAGAAATCTCACTTTACCTGTATCATTAAAAAACAAAATCCCATTCCTGTTATGTACCCTTCTGCTATCTGTAATTTTTTTTATATCACTTATCTTGTGTCTGCCCATGAAATGTTTAACTTCCTTTTTTAAAACCACGTTCTGTTGCTTCTCGTTTGCTCTGCAGCGTTATTGTCATTGTCCAGCTTTGATATCCACACAGATGAGGTCAGACCACGCGTAACACTGCAGTTGGTTGGCCTAAGTTGTGGAACTGCCCAGAATAAAACATTTTAAAAAGATTGGACTGTCAATAGTATTTCAGAGGGTGCTCTGAAAATATGGATAGGTATTTATTTGAACAAATAATGTGGCTTATCACGTTTTTGAAACTCTCCAAACGACACACTCACGGTTTCGTAGCGTGAACAACTCTCATTCGCTCTGAGTTACGGGGACAGAGAGTGCACAAGTCACACATTTAGCCAGAGCTGTTAAGGTCACCGATCAGAAATACGCCGGTGCAAGTTGAATATAAATATTCACTCTCTACGTATCTCAGTCGCTTTAGCATTAACGGCCATTTGGAAATCTCTCGGAGCAGTCGGTCACTCCGTGTGTTAGAGAAACGGCCTGCGAAAGCATATATCAAAGAACTACTCCTGAGATAACTTGCTGTGGCTTTTTTTTTTATAGCCACGCATTCGAGGATGCTAAACTCTCCCACGCGCCTTGCGTGTATGTATGTTGAACTTCTTTTGCACCGTTGTGCAACTACCCACGCTAATTATTGTCGCATGGCAGTCAAACCGTTACCAATTAATCATCTAAGCTGGACTTTAGCCAAATTAATTGAAAACCTAAATTTAATGTGACGGGGGCTTTTGTGTGTGTGTGCAGTCATTGGTGAATGGGCTTAGAATATCAACTCGCTACACTTTGAGAAACCCGCTGTAATCGCAGTAGAGCGGTGACCTGAACCCCGGACCTGAACCCAGGCTTTCTCAGCAGTGTTGGCGCGGTGTCTCCACCCCCTCTTGACTCACGCGGTCACCCTCTCACCCAAACCGACAATTTTATCGATGGTCACAGTTACCGTATTCTCCGGATTCAAAGACACTCGGGAGAGTACGACACCCACTGCAAATTAATTAAAAAAACGTGCACAGTGCCAATAATATGGTCTAAACAAATCTGATCGAACAACAACAACACCACCGTTCGCTACTTAAGTGGCGGTACCGTCGACTACTGCGCTTGTGCCAGGCTAGGATGCACACGCACACCTACCGGATGACCCATCTCTTCCCCAAGGTGTGTTGTGATATGTTGAGGGGTGAGTGGGTGGGGAAGGGGCTGGGGGGGGGGATGCGCAATTATCATAAGAATGCGGGAGAGTGCAATCTGTGCTGCATTTCGCAGTGGCTAAATTAGCCGGACCTGTTCGGATACGTTACATTCCTAGCCCCAGCAAAGGGAATGATGGCTCTCCGGAGGCTTTCCCGGGCTTCACGGGACACAAACACCGCACTCGTTCCATTCCGCCCACTCACCCAGTTCGCAGAGCAGCTGCAGATCTGAGCAGCAGAGGGCAGTGTCAATAAATCCACCGTTGTACTGAACCGACATGCGTCCCCCACGTCTGTGCATCACGCGTGCGCGCACCGACCAGCGTGGGTTGAACTCTGGCCAGATGTCTAATCCAGCAGTGGAGTGAGGCACGAGAGGGTACCGATGGGGGGGGGGGGACGTTAAAGACGCACGCGAGACGAGCTCCTGGTAGCGATTTTTGTTTTGCGTCGTAAAGCAAAATGGAATGGACAATATTAAAATGTTAACGTTGTGCTCAGCAATTACGTGATGTATGTTGCGGGGTGGGTTTTTTTTTCTTCCTTTCTCCATTTGCGAGAGATAATTAAGTGCAGTGGGCTGTAGCGGTGTATAAATAAAGGATATTGGCGAAGTAAATAATTCAGGTTTGTTACGCGGCCACAGGCCCCGACCGAGGCAATTGCCTCTGAACTCGCCCAGTCAAAGGATTAATTTCGGAAAGCGTGAACCCATAATTCGTCTCGTCGGACCCCGAACTCACTCCACCGCACCACAGCAGCGACACGTCCGCACGTCGCCGCACTCGCGAGCACGACACGAAGACGAAGAGACACAGCCCACGAATGGCCTCAACAGACAGACTGCGGGGAGGGAGGGGCAAGCGCCGTTAGCGAGCAGCACCGATGAAGGCCGACACGGCACGCGAGGCCACCACCACGCCCCTTGTCTCTCCCAGTGGCGATGTTTATTTACACACCGCACAGGGTGCTCATTTGAGGCTGAGTCGACCTGGGGGGGGGGGATGGAGGCCCACAGACCAGTTCACCGATGTTTGCCGTCGGCTGGAATTGAATTCGGTTCGCCGGATCGCCACTGCACTTCCCACTCCTCACTCACACCCCGACACAAAAACTAAATATCCCCCGTATCGCCTGAACGGACCATTGGGTCCCGTGCTGTTTGTGAGCGCCTTATACAGTACTCGCACACCAATACAGACACGCGTCCCTGTACTCACCCACACACGCGCATTCCTATAACCAATACTCTCCTCCTATGATGCAATGCACAGGGTCTCACGGCCAGAAGAGTCAGGCTTATTACAGATCGCCTCTTAAACACTGTCATCCCAAACACTCTCACCATAGAGCTCCCTCCCTCCTCTCCCCCCTACACGTCTCCCCTTCGCCTCTTCCCACACCCCTCCGTATCAACCTGGTCGTGTTCGGGAATGGGTCCCCAGTGAACCACAACACCGCTCCATCTGCAATCGACAGAGCGAGCCGGGCAGTGGAGCGAAAGAGCCGGGTGAGTTCATTCCCTTGCTAACAGCCCTGAGCCAGTGGTGGCAATTCCACATTACTATGGCAAGACCTGAGTACGATTTACGGCCACGGCTAACATCAGTGGCGGATATCTGAACCGGGGAGACAAAGGCGGCCAGGCGTGGATTTGGCCACACCGCCCGCGTCACGCACGCGCCGCGTCTCGGCGGCCTTCATCGCCGGTGCTCGCTAACAAACAGCCTCCCTTGTCCGCAAGTCTGTTGAAGGCTACACGGGGCATCTTTGTCTTCTTCTTGTTGTCGTGCCTTTATATTTTATCTCCCGGCCGCCTCATTTTCTCAGGCATCGCTCGCCGGGGGTAATGGACAATCGAGAGGTGACGTGGGCGCGCGTGCGTGTGTGTGTGTGTGTGCCTGTGTGTGTGTGTCTGCGTGTGTGTGTCTGTCTGTCTGTCTGTGCGTGTCTCGCTATCCCTGGCGATTCGTCAAGATAACCAGTGACGTTTCCAACCGCCTCATAATGGGGATACTGATAGCGACCTACAGAGATAACAAATACAAAGCCCCCCCCCCACCCCGTATAGCCTTAGCACACTGTTGGGGCAAGTGCTGTTAGCGAGTAGCACCCATGAGGGCCGGCCAGCACGGCACACGAGGGAGTGGTTTGGTCAATATCACGCCCGGCCGCCTTTGGCTCCCGAGTGGCGATGATTACACGTGGCAGGTTCTCATTTGAGGCCGAGTCGATCTAGGGGAGGCCCAGAACCGATTCAGATAATCGGCACTGGTGTTGGCCGTGAGCAGGAATCGAACTCGGGTCGCTCAATTCGTAGCGCAATGCGCTCACCACGGCGCCACCGCTCGCAAAGACAAAGATCCCCCGCGTAGCCTTAGCAGACTGTTGGGGTTAAGTGCCGTTGGTGAGGACCTATGAAGGCCGGCACGGCCCGCACCACGCCCGGGACGCCTTACACACATGGATGTATAAGGCACACACACGAGCATGCTGTCACTCGTATGAACACACACACGCAAGCTCGCATGAACGCACGTGAACACACACTGGGAAGAGTCCATGGTGCTCTGTGTGTGTGTTGTCGTGCAGCGGTTAGCGCTACGCTGCGCTATGCGAACCCGGCGACCCGAGTTCGATTCCCGCTCACGGCCAACACCAGTGACGATTATCTGAACCGGTGCCGACCCTCCCTTAGGTCGACTCAGCCTCGAATGTGTGCCTGGCGTGGTGTGTAAACATCACCACTGGGGAGACAAAGGCGGCCGAGTCACGCGTTGGCTACGCACGCACCCCGCTCGTGCGCCGTGCCGGCTTTCATACGTGCCACTCGCTAACTAACAGCACTTGCCCCGACGGTCTGCGAAGGCTATACGGGGGACCTTTGCCTTTGGTGCGTTTGGCCTCTTTCAGCTCGGCTCCGTCTCCTGCATCCTAATTGAGGACTAAGTGGAGCGAAGTCACTCCTCCTCTTCCGGCGTTCGTCCACGTCAATCGCCTCTGGCCGGGACAAAAAAAAAGAGTGAATCGCCCACGCGATAATGATTAATGTCTCAACACGAAGGCGCAGCCCTGCAATTGCTCGTTCACTGCACTGCTACAATGAGCCCTCTCTCTCTATAAGAATCACTCGGCGGTGGTGTTTTGGGCTACTCTTCCATGCTCGTCGGACGTCTTGGGAACGAGGTGAAACTACCCACTTCTCTACCTCACCACACACGACCTGCTGAGCCTTTTTAATGCTGAATGGACAGGGGGGTGGAGGGGGTGGAGGGGTCGAACTTAGGAAAGTTGCTCAATTGTTTCAGTTGCCGCTCCGGGAGGTTCGTCATTAATACTTTGGCCCTGAAAGGGAAAAAATATATATACACGCAGTATATAATAGGCGACGTTTCGGGCGATGATCCTTCTTCACAGCACCCGTTCATTAAGATACGAAAACGCCGGATTATATAAATGGGTTTGACACAGACACATATCGATACATGAAGGGTAGGTCGATACAGACGGATAATGAAAGTCACGATAGATAGAATGCTTAATATAATGGATAATAAATATGTATTGTAAATTA